TCCACTCACCTCGGCCTCCCAAAGTGCTGGGATTGCAGGCTGAGCCACTGAGCCCAGCCTACTGCAATTTATTGTCTATGATTTCTTTATCTGAAATGTGGAAAACAGGGTGAAACAATGCTACTCTTTAATAAAGAACGGGTGAGAAAACAGTAAGTTTAGCTAAAGAAATGAAGTCAAATGTAAAAATTTGTTAATGCCAGAGAGGATCCTAGATCCACAAAAATTTAGATGGGACTACAACGTGTTTATTTGTAAAGACAACAAACAATTGTGCAAAAAGGTGGCTTTTCTGTTTTATCCAACAGGGGGCACTATGCTAGCACCATGCCTCAAGAACGCTAGCTCAGGGGAAGGAAGGCTGCCAGGAACCACCAAGACCACTTCCTGTAGCAGGGACCGTGGGATCCATTATTTGTCTGTTTGATTGTGGCTTTTAAGAAGCTCGCTTTGTTTAAAACATGCACACACAGACCTCACACAGAAAGACACTTAGCAAAGTGTACTTGCTGAGAATGATGCCAATCACTCTTCCTAGAGTGATTCACTTATTCACTGATTAACTCAGTGAACACATTTATTGAGCACCTATTATATGCCATGCCTGTGCTTGATGCTGGAGATAGAATAGAAAGGAGAATAATAGAACTTGATCTTATGAACTGTTTGGTTTCATGGAAGAAAAAGACATTACTGACATGCTCATGTTAATAAAATAATCATGCCGGGCACAGTGGCTCACACCTGTAATCCCAGCACTTTGGGAGGTAGAGGCGAGAGGATTACCTGAGTTCAAGGGTTAGAGACCAGCCTGAGAAACATGATGAAACCTCATCTCTAAAATAAATAAATAAATAAATAAATAAATAAATATCAGCCAGGCATGGTGGTACATGCCTGTGTTTACAGCTTCTTGGAAGTCTGAGGTAGAAGGATCACCTGAGTCCAGCAGGTCGAGACTGCGGTGGCCGTGAGTGTGCCACTGCACTCCAGCCTGGGCAACAGAGTGAGACTTCAATTCAAAAATAATTAATTAACTAATTTAAAAAATAAAGTAATCACAAATTGTGGCAAGTGATCCAAAGATAAAGTACAAGCCATATAACAACACAGACATCAAGGCAAGGAAGATCAAGACAGAAGACCAGTATAAATGTAGGCCAAGTTCTATACAGATAAGCTAGAGATTGTCTAAAATGTTAAAATCTACCTTGTGCATACCTATTGGCTTTTTTTTTTTTTTTTGAATCAGAGTCTCACTCTGTCACCCAGG